TGCTCTCTGATCTGCACATACAGCAGATAAAATCAGCGCCGTGCATGTAATTAAATGTAAATTAAATCTATCTTTCTCTTGGTTAAATGTAACTTTTTTCCTGCTGGTGTGCTGTTTGTTATTGATTTTCTGCCTCATATTCCTACTGGAGCAGCGTTTGTTTTAGTTTATTAACAACAAATTAATCTGTAGCTGTTAGTTTTATTATATGTTATTACCTGTGTGGTGAATTTTCCACAGAGATGAATACAAACATTGGAGAAATATCAGTTTCAAACAGAGCTGCAGCAGTAAATCAACTTTAAATTAATTTAACAACTATTCTGATAATTGATTAACCCGTTTGCGCCATTTTAAAAGATTATCAGTCCAACTTCTGTGACTGCAGCTTCTCAGATGTTCATGTTTCCTGGTTTCTCTCCTCCTCTGTGGCAGTAAACTCAATAATGTTGCAGAAAAGCTCTTGTGTTTTTTTTACTCATATTTTAATGACAAGTAGATAAATGTAGAAAACAAACAGCTGGTTAAACAGTAATGAAAAGAGCTATTTGTTGCAGGACTAATTCGAAGCTGACATTTTCCGTTCAAGTCCATTTAAATCATTATGTAATTGAAGTCCTCGGCAGCACTTTGTAGCTGCACAGACGACGCTGGTGTTTAAAGCTGTGACTCAGTAGCCCAACAGGATGATGGAGTCACATCTGGACCGTCGTGTTCGGTGGAATCATGACTCCCCTGAAGGCGTCTTTTAACCGGCCATCGTGGTCTCATGACGTCCTTCACGCCTTCAGAGGAAGACGAACCGATTCCTCGAGGTTCTTTGTCACCCGCTGCTGTGACCCGAATCTGTAAAAACTCCGACACAGATTCAGCCAGTTAACCGTCCGCCATGTTGGTTTATCAGATACATGAAGTATCAGAACACCAGCATCGACCGCCTGATTGATAAACAAGTAGAATTCTGACTTTCTGATGGCGTCGATGAAAACTGAAGCAGTTTCAAAAGCATTCATTTTTAAACATCCATCCAT